GTCCTACCATTCATTTACACAATTTTTTAAGTAAGGTGATCACGCTTCTCCACAACTTCCTATTCTTTGTAGATCCAAGTAATGTTTGTCTTCTTAATATCCCTTCTGCTCTCTGTTCTGCCATACAGTTACTCGTTGTATAGGGTACTCGCTGTTTTCCCTGTCTCTTTTGCCAACGAAATATCCTGAGTGTCAGATTCTCTAATCTTTCTTTTCTCATTATGAATCCATAAAAATATCTTTCTGATTACGAATATACACGCCTTTTTTATTTTCATTTAATACTTCCTCGTTTGTAAAAAAAAAATATTTCGTCCACAGTATTCTTATTATCCTTCTGTAGGACAACATCTCTGTTGCTAACCAGTCTTCTCTTCATCTGTGAAGAAGTTGCTCAGCATACAAGAGGAATGATCTCTATCTATAAAAGGCAGGATGTGTGTGTATGTGTGTGTGTGTGTAACGAATGCACGGCCGCAATTTTCGACGGATTTGCACCAAAATTGACATGCACATGCTCCAAGTTAGCAGAAAGGCCAAGACCGACTTTGCATTTCCCAACTCTCATCGATAGTGGAAATAATCGATTTTTTCATGCTTCTACGGCAGTTTTCGTGTAGTTTGCGGCCATTTTCTACTGGTGAGAGCCTATAGCTGGCTGTCACGAATAGGCAGGAAGATTCTATTGGCCAGCGTGAGAGCCAACAGTTGACTGACACGAATATTAACTAGCATGCAAAAAAAAAAAAGAAATCGATAGCTGCATTCGTCACAAGTGGGAAAAATTTAAATCTGCATGGCACTTTGCTTCAATTGGCTCATTCGCTTGCTTAAACTCAACGTTGATTCTGATTCCGCAGAACTGGGTTGGGTGTAAAAAAGTATTCGTTGTTAACATTCTTTTTTCATTCGGTTTTTCCAGTTACGAGTCCTTTTTTTTAAAGCTGATCGTTTTGTGTTCATTTTGTTTAGTTCTTTTTTCGTAACAGATTTAATGTTTAGTATAGAGCTTAGAAAAAATTCACAGTGTGAGATAGGCAAGAAGTAAGGCATGTAGCAACATCAGCACGGCAAAGGGCACTCCTTTAAAAAGGCAAGGAAGGGCAAAAATATTTTAAGTCAAGTGATAGCGATTGCTGTATGAGTCGTACGATTTTTGAATCAAGCACGGGCAACGCCGGGCCATGCTGCTAGTATATATATAAAAGTTCAGCCCGCTTTTCTTTTGTTTTCAATGAAATCTTTCTGTTTCTTATTACTCCCCTTATCTTTTGGAATGCATCTTTGTTATTCCAATACGAGTTCGGATTTCAGTGCCATAATTTGTGTTCTCTGTTAAAACACTTCCCAGATATTTTTCGTGTTTGTTTTATTTTCGTATCTCCGATTCAGAGGTCACATGCTGAGACGTTCCTCTTGCTGACAACCGCACACTGTCTCTTATTCATTCTTTCTCCCCCTCTTTCCTTTACTACCTTCTCGAGGAGTTTCTGCAACTTCCGTTCAGTATCATCTGCATATCTTATTAAATCCAGGTAGGACTTCTCGTTCTCTTTCCTCGCTATAAAGGGTTGAATAATGAGAAGACACATCCTAGTCTTACGCCACTTTCTATTCACATTCTATCCGTATAGGATAAAAAGAACTCCATTTGAGATTTGCTGATTTTACAAGACGAATATATTGAGAGTTTATTATAATGATCTATTTTATAATTCACAAAGCCTGGGCAATATATGGAGGTTATATATATATATATATATATATATATATATATAGATAGATTCTAAAGAATTGGTTCATCTTGTTCATAATCCGAAGACTTACAGCCACATTAATTTAAAACCCCGGTTCCCGTCAACCTGGATGTGCGGGTGGTGTAGTTCATAATGGCTCGGAATTGTTAATCGGAGAGCCAAATTATAACTCCGGTTGGTCAGTTATATTGATTCACGTGCAAATACCCTTCATAAAAAGTATGAATCCACTTTTCCCCCCAGATATGGGTTAATTAGTAGAACATCTACCATTAAACTATTATTATCTTAAAAAGATTCTTGCAATCTTAAAAAATATTTCCTGACTGAGGAAAACGCGCACAACTATCCAAACTATGCAACAGTCTTCGCGGATATATATATATATATAGAGAGAGAGAGAGAGAGAGAGGTGATTGAAAAGTAACTCCTCATTTTTAAATAATTATAATTTATTAACTATATTTTTACAAGAAATGGATATGAGAGGAAAGCTTTTAGCATGAGATTCTATTTAAACTTCGATATGGGCACCCAATTTTGCTACCACTTTGTCGAGCTGCTCAGGAATAGCGTCAAATGTTTTCACCAGGAACTCTTGTGATATGAAAGACATAACTTCTTGTATTCCAAAGTCTTTGTAATAATATAGCAGGCCTACTCCTTTAACTATCCTCATAGGAAAAATGTCACAGTATGCAGTTGAGTTGCGAGGTAGAGTAACAGTTATGGACTCGTCGGTTCGTGTTTCAAGACAAGTCGGGTGGGATTGCCAATGCAAATCGCTGACCCAGAGGTGACGATCGGCAGAGCTGGTTTGAAAATTCCTGCGCGCCTGAGGTGGTCACCTAACCCGCTTACCTTCCTGTCGTCGACGCGGGCACTTTATACTCCTACGGCGGCATTCCCATACAGCCACCACCTAACCATTATACAACCTGTGTGACCTTGATATTATCTGCCATCAGTACAGATATTTACCCAAACATTTAAAACTGAAAAAGTAAAAATTGCCATGGAGAAGATGCAATGAATCATAAATAAATACTGGATTTATCAAATCTATGTGGGTGAACTTGGCAACATCTACAGTCGGTTCCCAAATACTTAGAATAAAAAAAATACGAATAGAGAGAAATTGGGAGAATATATATATATATATAAAGTTTTTATTTTCTCGAAAGAGAACATAGTTAAAATTGAATAATGTGTCGCATACTTGCTCTCCGTCCTAGAAAAAGGGAAATTAGTTAAGGTTACAAAACTCTCTATACCCATATATGTCCTCGAGGCTGTGTAAGGAAAATGTATTCTCTTTGCGGCGTCTACCCGAAGACTATTGTTTTTCTACAAACTGCTGATTGGTCGTTAAGAGTCACATGATCGGCAAAACATGATACATATTCACTGGGAAAGAGGAATGAAAGTTAACCCAGCAACATGAATTCGTATTTCTTTGCAAAATACGTCGTCACAGATATCTTATCAAAAATGACATGGGACGATATTTGATGAAGAAAATAGCGAGCAATTGGATACATCATTTTCCTATAACTACCTCACCGTCCAGATAGTAGTCGTGGTAGCAGTAATAAAAAGCTGTTACGTTCGTTTTCTACCTTGACAGAGACTAGTCCCTATACTGACCTGGATTCTTAAACTTCATATGGTCCTCCTTGAGCTGGATTTCATATGGAATTATGCTTTCGCAAACTTGCCAAAACTTAATATATTTCCTTGTTTTTTATTAATATTATTATTGAAACGCGATAGCTGAATTGGTTTCAATACATTAAAAATAGCGTACTTCCTTTCCTCCCACAGACACACACTACACTAACTAAAAGTCTCTTCACTAAACACTTAAAAAGTCCAAAGTGTTTTCAAGTAGATGCATTCCCGTTGCTTTCCTGGTTTTACATCTTAATGCCATAAACGAGGAAGTGGTAAAAAGATCTTGGTCCGTCCCACTTCTCATAATCTGACCAAATGACCAAGCATCAAAATATATTTTTTTTTCATTCATTCGAGTCGAGAACTTTTCAGCACTACTTTGTATATATTTCTTACCTACGCAGAACATGATGTTCGAAAAAATGCCTTTTCTAATAAGTCAATTACACATATTCATACTCTTTCCAACTGAGTGACTTTTCAATGTCCAGGAACTGATACAGACTCTACGTAAAAAGAGACTTTTTGTCTAACAACTCGTTTTCAACGAATCTCTTCTAGTGATTCATAATGCAAAATCACCAGCAGTTTATCAACCTAAGAATAGCAAAATCGTCAGAAGTCGTTTTAATGAGATTTTATAAATTATTGTTCACGATAAGATCGATATTTTATATATTAAATTGATTAATTCCTTTTTACGGCTTATCAACACTTTGCAAGTTATTTTAAGCTAGAAAATATTTTTAGATTCTGTGTGTGCGGGGAGATAATGATTTAGTAACATGTCTTACTAATTAATCCTTAGCTGGGGGTAGAAAAGATAGATTCAAACCTAATAAATTGGGGGATCAATTCTATATTGAATTAGTGTATAAATTTATCCCTCACTTTGTGGCCACTGTAGTTTCTATACATTTATAGTTAAGAGAATGTAAATAAATCTGAATCATATGCTTGTGTAGCTAATCGGTATTTGATTGATTTATCGATTCATATTCTACGGCTTATCAATACTTTGCAGGTTATTTAAAGCCAGAAAAATAGTTTTAGATTTTTTTAAGCATTTCACCCCAAGCAAGGCGAGAGTGCCATAAGCACGTAAGGATTACAGATAGTGGGAGCAAGAGTAAAGAAGAGTGATAAAGGAAAGGATGAAGAGAAAGACGAGGAATTAGATCAAGGCATCTGAAGATGTCGATTGACATTGCATTTGAATATCTGTAGATTATAGCTATCAGGGAAGTAAATAAGAGGAAGGGAGTTCCACAGACGGGAAGTGCGAGATATGAAGATTTTGGAGTAGAAGAGATGGCTACATTTAACCGTTTCGCCAGTGAAAACGTTGGACTGAGATGCCAACCTAGTAGCACGTTTAAATTCATGCAGTTTCGGAACCAGCAAAAGTAGCTCGTCTGAGCAGTTACCGTGAAAGTATTTGTATTATTAATTAATCCATAAAAGGTGGATTCATGCCTTTTCCAAGAGTATTTGCGCGTAAGTGAATATAACGAACATAACGGTAATTGGAATTCGGATATTCTATTAATAATTTCGTGCCATTATCCATTGCACCACACGGACATCCAAGCGGTCACCCATCTAGGTACTGACCAGGCTCGACGTTGCTTAACGTCGGTGATGTTAAGGGGAATCGGTGTTTCTACGTGATGTGGCCATAATTTAAAGATTTCTGATTCTAGACTCAGAAAGAGACAGTTAAAATTACTTGGACGCATAATGAAGAAAGACGGATTGGATAATTTGGCACCCATAGGGCTTACTGAAGGCTAGAGCTAGTAATCTACCTACCTAATAAGTTTACATTAAGGGATGGCAGAGCAGAGACTGAGAAAGATGATGAAAAGACAAAACTTATTAAGAGCTACAAAGTATAAGAAGATGTGGAGCTACAAAGTATAAGAAGTTGTGGAGAGCCATGATCGCCCATGTACTGAAAAGATACGGCAAGAAGAAGAAGAAAAAGAAAGAATCCTGAAGTTACATGAGTATGCTAAAATAATGCTTGATAATATCAACAATATCGGGATATGTCTAAATATAAAGTCCTAGTGCTCTGAATTATTATTTGTTATGGGACCTTACCAATAATAATAATAATAATAATAATAATAATGAACTATTCCATACTTAATACTGCGCCTCAGGAGTAGGCAAGGAGTCAGTAGAGTCAGTTGTTCAAGGAGAGTCAGTAGTTCAAGACGAGTCAAGAGTCGAGTCAGAGGCAGTCCGAAACAGAGTCGCGTTCAGACAATTACTGCAAGACATTGGAATAGTGATACGGGTCGAGACTACATTTTTCTCTCTACTAAACCTGATTGTTCATACTAACACTTTTACTTCTCTGTATATATTCCTGTTTGTATTATGTCTGTGTTATTCCATACCTGTGTTCGCGTTCTTCTTATTTGGTTCTACCTTGGACTATCACCGTGGCACAAGGAACCGGACCATAACATTATTAATATGAGAAGAGAGCTTGGAAAATTTAATACTCACAAGACAGATTGAAGGCAAGAGGAACAAAGGAAAATAACGCATAACCTACCTAGCGAGATTGAGTAAATTAATGGCGGAACAACGTTTAGGAGAGATAACAAAGACAAAATTTATTAAGAGTTACAAAGGACAGGAACTTGTGGAGAGCTATAATTGCCAAGGTTCCGAAGGGACACGGCACATAGAAGAAATACTCCGGATAAAATTAAAGAACATATTTTAATGCGAATATTATACGTCAAGTACCTTTACAACAAGATCTTTGTTAGAGTATATTTTTCGTACTGCATTGAAAATTAGAATGTTGTGAAAGGTCTGGATTACATTGGTTGATGTTTAAAGCAAATAGTCCCAAATCCAATAAGGCAATAAATATTACAAACTCTTCTCTCTCTTTTGATCACAGCCAATTAATTCCTATGCTCTAAAAATTACGATGTCCCCATGGCGTTAATACCTGGCTACACTGTATGCAGGGTGCGATGGGTAAATTGTCGCCATTATATATTTTTAAATTCGTGCATGCGAGTTGTTTGTTCTTGATTTTGTTGACTGCACAGTATAGTAGGATCAGTTAGGCACCGTCTGTGAGAAAAAGAGCACCATAACGCAATTCATACCGCCAGAAATTTGGAAACGGCATCCTGTACTGCTTGGCAATCGCGCCGGAATCTCCAATACGAACATTTCAGATTGTTTGGGTGTCGAGAGGATTAAGAAAGAATTGGATAAGGAATGGTAATTACGAAGGTACGGCTGTTAGGAAAACTCACTCTGATTATTCTGATAAGTAAAGAACTCCCGAATTTGTTGGTGAGGGTCTCAGACTCAACACGTAGACCTACATCAAATCCTGGGTCAAGAGAGTGACTGCTGGAAGACTATTTCACCATTGTTCACCATGCCACACAAGCAATTGCATCCTGCATACAGACGTGTGAACGAGATGATAGGCGGACCTATCTACACCTATTGAGGAAAAAGCAACAAATAAATATTAAATAAAGGATGTTAGGCTTTTAATACCGTTAAAATGTATTAATTCTAACTTACTGCCTATTACTAATTTTCAAAGACTTGATTTCTTTTATTTTTTAAAATTATTTTTAATTCAATAAAAACTTTAATTACCCTATTTGCTGCGTTATGAGCCACACTGAAAAATATCAAACATTAGGCAGCACCCAGTGAACTGGTGTCATGGATGAGACACTTATACAGAGAGCTAGGGAGGTTTACTGTGGCGAGTCAGGATGTGTTGCGTTTAGTAATAGTGAAAATTCACTTATAAAATTTTACTATATAAGTCAGTATATAGAACTTTTTACGTCTTAAAATAAACTAATAGTTAAAAAATTGGTATTCTATACCATTGACCAAACAGACGAGGTTTATTACTACTCAAAATAACAATAACGTTTGCAAGATTTCATTTGCACTAAAATGGAAAATTTTGCCTGTCCGTTTTGTAGTAAGATGAAATAAAAATTGTGCTTGTTTAGTGAAAGGGGGTATAACCTTCACCCCTGTAGTATTGTATGCAAATTAGATAGACAAGTATAAATAGAGAACAACTTGCGAACATGAGGGACAGCTATACCTGGTTGCTATTCAAGACACGGACTACTACTACACCAAGAGATGTGCAGAACATAACAACCCCAAAGAACATTGTCGCTTTGTTCAAGCATAGCATTTTGTAATGTATTATTTACTGCAGACGCTCTTTAGCTAATGGACAAGCAACATTGTAAAAATGGATGGCATTACGGAAAAGGAACAATATATAAAAAAAATCATGAGAAATCAACAAGTAGTAGAGATTGAAAAGTTTTTCTTGGCCAGAGTTTGATTTTCCAGTAGTAAAATTATCCGAAATATTCAGTCAACTTAGTGAAGAATTAGTTCATTAATAATATTGTTGACATTTTGGAGTGGTCCAGCTAGAGTTCAGATCTGAACCCTATCTAGAATATATGGAATGAACCCAAGAAAGCCGTCCAACATCAAAAGAATCAATGGGAAATCATGGAAATCCCTGTAGAGAGGTGCTAAAATTCTAGAACCAATTACAATTTCCACTTGGAAACTGTAAAATAAAGGTTTAGGCATGGATTATTAGCAAAGGGTATGATTAATGACATTTTTTCACAATATGTTGCTTGGGGCCAAGAATACGCAGGCAACATCTCCATGCAGAGGGGTAACTCGCTCCAAAACCACCTGTATACTGTATTTATATCTAGCTTCTGGACATGCGCAGACCAAATGAATGTGTACCTTTTTGACACCTATGCAAACAAAACATATGGATACCTTTCTATTGCTTTTTTTTTCAAAAGGACAGATTTCAGCATTAAATAAAATAGAGAATTTGATATGCACTTAAGTCTTAAGCAAACCAATAGAAATTAGAATAACTTTTGTCGTGAATTTCAGCTTATTTCATTCGTCAATTTATACGATTAACAGCAAAAGAAAAATTGTTTCACAAAATGAATAAATAAATATAGCGTGAATCTTGTGTAGTGATGTATGTTTGTTTTTTATGTACGTATGTGAATCATAAACAGTAATATGAACACACAAACAAACAAGCACGCACACACACATTTGCAGGAAAGTACACACGTGTGAACATAGGTTGTACTGATTATTTCAGACTGAGTTTAATTGCTTTGCATAATTAGTGAATACGTTAGCGAATTAGTGACAGCTTAGATGTAAATTGCAACCTGGGAAGAAAAAAAAAGGCGGAAAATGTTACGATGATTCAAATGTTTGGTATTCCGAAGATGGAAGACCAAAGTTACTGCAGTTTGTATTAGACTGAAACAAAACAGACAGAATCAAAATTTAATACAACGAACATGTACATAGGCTCACTGACGTTGATGCAAGAAATGAAAAGAAAATACATAAATTCGGAGTAATTGTCGAATAAACAGAAATAAAAACTTTTTTTAGCATTTTAACGAGAAATTTTCGTTGGTGATAAGTATTATTAAACCATATAATTCACTTCGTTTTTTGAATTAAATTGCAAATTGTACTGGTGAATATACACGAGTCTAGTCAGTTTTATTTAATCGAATTCTAGGATTTCTCCAGTGATTTGAGCAACAAAGAATACATATGAAAATTTTGCAAGGTGGTTACTGTAATAACAAAAGACAGTAAGGGAAGGCTTAAGGAGGTTTTATTCTGCTTAGACTAATTGATACAAGCATAGTGACGAGTTATAGTCCTCTAAAAACGAAAGAGTTCTCCAAAGAGAGGGAGTCATAAAACAAGGGTGATTACTCCCGATTACTTTATTACACTCCAGTAAGTTATCTGCTATGCATGATACACGCTTAGGCGATCATGTATCTTTCAATAGATGACTGACGAGGCAGAATTTTTCCGCGGTACGTTGCCATTTCTTTCAGCGGTAGACCAGTTGCTATCCAAGGCTATAGAACCCGGCCTGTCCTGCTATTTATCCATAGCTGGGAGTGGGGAGAAGAAGAGGATTCATAACTTTCCCAAGGTAAAAGTACATAAGTGAATGTAATCGATTCAACTGGAATTCGAACCTGGCTCGCCGATTCCTCAATACCAGCCGCTATCTATAACTCCACTGTGCCTTACACTTACTTAATTCTTTTGAAGTGCATTTGTACAATGTTTGTACCTTCTCACTATTGGTTCATGTTGTACATTTGAATTTCACATTCGAAGGTTCTCGACAAATTCAAATCATTATTTATTGTCAAATCCAAAGAAAAGATTAAATATATATATATATATATATATATATATATATATATATTTAACACAATCTTCAATTTTTCTATATGGCATTGAATGCTGCACAATCTCCTCACAGATGAAGAGGAAACATAAGACAGCAGATGTGGTCCTATAGAAGAATACTAATTTTGACCATGGACGGAATATGTAAGCATCGAGGAAGGTTTAATGAAAAAATACCAAAATAGAAATGTAAAGAAAGAAAAAGTGAGACTCAAGAAAGAGAATATTTAAAGAAAGAAAGACTTAAAATAAAGAATATAAAGAGGAAAAAGACAAAGTCCGAGACATGGTAGTAACAAAAAGAGAGAAAAAAAGAACTAACTATTAATTGCAAAAGACAGAATTCATGGTCGTTATGAGTTC